TCGGAGGGCGGGCGCGGCGGCCGCGCGAGCCTTGGCAGCCTGGGGTTCCGGGAGCGGAGCGCCGCGAGCGTGGGAAGCGCGGGCGAGCTCCGAAAGGCCCGGCCAGACGCTGCCGGCCCTGCGTGGCGCCCCCGTGAGGGCTCGCGCGTGGACACCGAATGGGCTCCGTCGCAAGTGCTGGAGACAGGTTATCCGCCCCAGGCCCGGAGCCGCAAGGTCCTTGTCTGTAAAACGAGACCCGAAGAACCCACCCCATCGGCCTAGCCGCCTCCAGGCCGACTTCGCCCTACTCCTTGCCTCGTCTTGCTCCCGGGGAGGTCGCGGGAAGACGCGGGGCCCAGGAAGCGCGAGCAAATGGACCTTCACAGAAGATGCCAGTCGAGCTTGAGTGTGCCTCATGAAACCCAGCTCGTGGCTGCAAGCGAAGGGAAGGGATGGGTGTCAGAGGTGACGAGATCAAATGCTGGAGAAAACAAAACCTCTGCATGGTGAAACCTGCGTATAATACACCTGCGTACTGGACATGAAGAGCTACCCAGTGTACAGCAGCCGCCAGTGAGGGAGAAGGAGGTCACAGGCCAACCGAGGAGCCTGCAGCGAACAGGTAGTACGGAGATAGAGCTGCAAGCTTCATGGGAGCTTATGTTTGGCTTAACATCTGTATACAAATTATCTATTTTTAAAAATCTATAGATAACATGTATATATGTGGAAGTACACAAGCTTCCTTGCTCTGTCACTTGATTGGCCTTGAAAGAAAGAAAGAAAGAACAGCCAGCCAGAGCTCCTTAGGGAAATGGCTAGTTCTGGTACAGGAAATGTTTAACGTGAGCCTGGAGCATCCTGTTGTGCCTGAAGGTAAGGAAGAGCTTCTTCCCCTGAAAACAAAAACATTTGCTTAATAACAGAAAGATGGGGGATGTCCCAGGAACACTGGAGCCAACTGAAAAAGCTTCCAGCGGCCAAAACTAAAACAATATGAGAAAAAAAAAAAAAAATAGAGCGCTATTTGATTATAACCCAAAGCATAAAATAATGAGTCCATACTGATATGAGTAAATCATTAAGTAATTCTGTGCCCTGCATGAAATGGAACAGCAGCCCTTTCTCCCTAGGTGTGGGCAGAACACAGTAACTTCCTTCCAGAGTACAAAATGGAAAAGAGAAAAAGAACTAACTTAGCCAGATGGTCAAAGTGAATGTCAAAAGCAGTAAGTCATGTTGGATGCAAATTGCTTTTTACCTCTATGGGTTTCCTTCTCAAAATCCGGACTGTACTCTTAACAATGACAAAAGCATTAGAGGAGTTGCTGCTGAGACAGCAGCCACCTGACCAGCACTTCCCTAAGCTAACAGGCTCATCAAAAATAAGGAGAGTCTGGGAAACTACCCCAGCCACAAGGATCTTAAGGAAATAAGAGGACTAAATGCAAGAGAGTGTCTTCATATAGTCCTGGACTTCAGATAGAGATTCAAGAAAATTCGAGAAATATATGCACTTTAGTTAATTATGAACCAATATTGTTTCTTTGCTTATGAACAATGTACCCTCAATAAAAAATACAATGGTGGAAACTGGGTAAAGAGTATATGGGTATATGGGAATTCTCTTCACAACTTTTCAGTAAATGTTAATCTATTTTCAGATAAAATCTTACTTTCAATTTTTTAGTTAGATAAGCAGTACCTCAAAAAAAAAACCAGTAGATTCAAATTTCACAGGCCATCAGCTCAGGTGTGCTCACATGTTTCCTTTTCTTATTTTTCTCTCAGTTGATTTCTATCTCCAGTTCTCATTCCCTGCTCCAGAGACACAAAGTTTAGCATTAGTTCAGGGGAACTCAGTCCGGAAATTATCTTTGTCAGTTTGAGCATTGTCCCCTGCTGCACTTTCCCCAGGATGAAGCCAAGCTCTCAGAAGTATTCAGAGTGCCATAGGGAAGCTGGCCCTCATCTTTGGCCATGAGGAATTCATGCTGGCATGTCTGATCTTCCAGCCACTGTCCTGCTGGATTGCAGGCATTGCTCAGGCCCCTCGCCCCACTGTGGGAACTCAGAGTCTCAATCGAGCTGTGCCCCTCCCAAGCTACTCCCAGCCACCCAGGAAAATACTCAGCTGCTGGCTGAGTGCTCAGACACTTGACCCCACCTAGCCCCAAAAAATCAGACCAAAATTGCTGCTCTCCATCCTGCAGGCACAACTGGGTACAGGCTTTCTCAGAGACATGGTAGTTGAATGCTCCCCTATCTCTACCACCCCAAATTAAAGAATATTTCTTCAGAAGAAAAGCCTCACTTCAGTTTCCTCTGGATGTCTTCAGAATCTACTGTTTCGGGCCTGATCTTTGTGTTCTGCAAAAGTGTCAGCTTTTAATATTCAACAACTTTTCCCCTCTCATCTATCTTCTCTGTCATGGGTTCCTAATGTGTTTCTTAAAATTCAGAAGCCAAGTGTAACCTTTTCTCTATAGCCCTTCTATAACCCCATCTTCTGGACAGTGAATACTGAGTCTCTACCTCTTGCTAAAATAAAATGGTGGGAAAAGGTCAAGAATTGGAAAAAGTTAAAAGTGCCTGAAGGAAAGGGAGACAGATTAGATGATATCCAATGGCTACAAAAAGGTTGGTGATCCTTGCTGGAAATGACAGGTGGACAAGGGCAATCATGTGGGAGGAATCCTAGGTAGGGAAAGCTCTGAGTGCTGGGAGTTGGCCTGGAGGGGAAGGTGACAGAGGTTGTTGGGGACTGGGCTGGGCAGGCAAGGGTTGATGTATATTTGGGCAAGGAGAGACACTAGAGTTTTGGGATCCCAATTCTGCCAGCTCTGCTATCAAAGATAGTCAGGTCCAAGAAAGAGATATAAAAGACTTATCTTTTTCTTTTCTTTTTTTCTTTCTTTTTTTTTTTTTTTCCCGGGGATTGAACTCAGGCCCTTGTGCTTGCCAAGGAAGGGCTTATTCCCCTGGCCATCTCCCCGGCCCAAAGATATGAAAGACTTATATCTGAGCATAGGACACACACTTTTGCTTAGAAGTAGATATTTCCTTCTCATGTATTTATATTTATTTTAATATAAAAATAATGTCTTTGGCTTGGGGTATAGCTCAGGGATACAGCATGTACTTGCCTGGAAGACTCACCCAGATTGCAGTAAAAGGAAGAGGCTGCACGTAGGTTTTTTTCCCCTTCTGCCATCTAAGCATGTGCAGGAATATAAACAGGGTCTCATGACAGCTGTTGTTGATCCCACCCAACCTTCAAAATGTAGCTCAAATTTCAAACCCCTTCTTGAAGCTCCTACATAACTCAAATTGATCTCTCTACTCTGGATTTTGTGGCACCAGACATTTTGGCATTTAATTATGTACTACATGACATTATTCACATCTTTTTTCATGTTTAACACTTGCCTACAAGAAAAAATCCTTTATAATCAATATACAGGTACCCACATGCCTCCTATCTGCCAGAACCACTGTAGCCCAACAGAATGAAGCAAAATGAGGCATCATCTGGAAAGGCTACTGCAGGTTGTCTACTCAACATCTTTTCTCTCCTTCCTATCAGGATCCATGCCTGCTTTCTGAAAACTACATTTCCCAGCTCTGGTGTTCACATGACAAGGTGTTGGCCAATGAGATATAGGTGGAAAGGGCTGGGGAGGGCTCCCAGGAAAAGGGCAGACTCAGGGTGGACATGCCTTTTGTCCTTTGTCCTCTCTGCTGGGAAACACATACAAGATGTTGGAGGTAAAGAAGCCATTGAGTAACTATGAATGAGACAAAGCACACGGTATGGACTTCTGAGTAAGCAACCCACCTGTCAATTTTTTGTTACATAAGAACCTGACTCAGTTAACTGGCTGTAAGTTAGGTGTTCGGTTATGTCCAGCCAAACCTGCTCCTGCCTGATAGTCCAGCTTTTCACACTTTTCCACCAAAAACAAAACCCTGAAGAAGGAAGACAGAGAAAAATCAAGGGAAAGTTATGCACTTGGGGGACTAAAAGGGTACCCTAAGGAATCATCAAATGACAAACATATCTTTCAAGTTGCTGGCTCTTTCTTAGAAATGAATGTAGATTTTTCCTTCTCATAAATATAAATAAATATATTTATTTTAATATAAAAATAATGTCTTTGTTTGTGGTGTAGCTTAGAGATAGAGTACATACTTGCCGGGCAATGCAAGACCCTGGGTTCAACACCCAGCATTACAAAAAAGTTTTAAGCGTTCTCTTTTAACTAGTGCTTCAGGTAGAAGGATGTTTCTCACCCCACTGTGTGCACACACACCCACAAAACATTCTGGCTTCTAGAGCCCTGAAGCAATAAATGTCTATTGTTTTAAGCTACCCAGTTTATGGTACTTACAGTTCGGGCATTGATATACAAGCCAATCTATTTAGTTCTCTAATTTTTGAGTCAAATTATCATTCTAGGAAGATATTATATATTGATCTTATAGATAATAATTTTTGGTGCTTAAGGTAAAGAAAAAGAGTCCGGAGAATGAGGAGAATTGCCATTTGAATGGCTATAGGAACAAATAGATATGAACAAGAATATGTTGTGAAATGTCTAGGTGATAACTTGACCTCTGGACTGGGGATGTAGCTCAGCATGATAGAATGTTTGCCTAGCAAACATGAGGCCCTGGGATCAATTCCTGGAAACTTAAAAAAAAAAAAAAAAAAAAAAAATCAGTAGCTTGATCTCTGACCAGAATTTGAAATGTTGTTAGTCAGTTTTCTGTTATAACAAAATACCTGAGACTAGCTACTTTGTAAAGAAAAGAGGTTTATTTAGCCCACAATTTTGGAGGCTAGGTACCCAAGATAGTCCCTGCCATCAGTTCAGCCTCTGACAAGTGTCCCCTTGACTGTCACATTGCAGTAGGTGGCAGGAGAATATGTGAGAGGGGAAGATCACACAGGATGACAGGAAACTGGGGGTCCAGGAGGGAAGAATCTTGTTCTTTATGACACCCCTCCCAGGAGATCTAGTAAGGGTCCTATGAAAGGGGTATATTAGTTCTTTCCAAGGACAGTGCCCCAGTGACTAATCGCCTTGCACTACTTACCACCCCTTAAAGATTCCACGTTACCTTTCAGCATCCCTACACTGGAGGCTGAGCTCCTGACATAGGAGCTTTCAGGGAACACACTTAAGCCACCACAGAATCCTACCCCTCAATTTGAGCTGGAGAGTATAAACACTCCTTGAGCTTCCAGACTGGACTGTTAGTTAAACTAACAAGGACATGAAAGTTAAAAAGTGAGTAGGAAATGGGGTGAGGGGGAGAGTTTAGGAGCCATACATTGTGTAACCCTGCAAAGGGTGACTTGAAGTGCCCTTAGGACTCCCCACTTGGCTCTGGGCTAAATTAAGGAGGAGGTTGAGGAAGAGAAGTCCATGCCAGGGGCCCAGAACATTTCATTCCACCAGGGCATGCCAAGTCTGCTCACAAATGACTCCAAATGGTCCTGGATCTTTGGTTTGGAATGATCACTAAGCCAGAAAGATCCAAGCCAGAGCCAGCTTGCCCTGCTCTCAACCCTAGGCATGAGAATCCCAAGAATTGCTGAGTGTCCACCATGGTTTCTTGGTGGAGACTTCTGAAACCCGGCCCACCGGTGATTTCTCTGTCATTGAAATTCTTCTGAACATACAAATCAAGCAGAGCGGAGCTGGTGAGAAAAGGAAGAGTGAATTAGCAAAATGAGCCTGGAAAGAAACACGGGATGGAATATCCAGGGCATTTGGGGAGAATGAGGAGTGTGTGTGTGTGTGTGTGTGTGTGTGTGTGTGTGTGTGTACCCTTGCTTTCACCTGCCTAACTTTGGGGTTGAAACTAGCACAGATCTTGGTCTGATAGCAGAGGAACCTCAAGATACAAAAAGGGGAAGAAAAGAGAAAGGTAGATCTGGTTCTTAAATGAGCTCAAATTTGGAAATTGCAGTTGTATTATCACTAGTGCGTAAATGGGAGAGATGTGTAGGAGAAGTGACATTATCTGTATTTACTACCATGGCATCAAATTTGATCGATGTTCATTGCTTCAAAACTGCTGACTTTCTGTTCTCTGCCAATATCTTAAAGAATTCCAAATTGACCCCAGGCCTAAAATTTGCAGGATCTGAAATTCTACCTCATGAGATTCATTCGTCCTAATCCTGACTAACTGTTGGTTTTCAAGATTTGTCTTTAAAGGATAAATACCCCCTGGGAGTGCTAACACCTCAACCTTTATCACTTAATACCTTGCACAGAAGATTAGTGGATTAGCTGAGCACTGGCTCAAGGTAATGCAGGATAGAAAAGGGAAAAGAGCAATGGAAGCCACTACTTAGGAAGCACCTACTTTGCTTTCGTGTAGAGTGCTGTTCACTCGTGTCCAGAGCAGAGTCTGAGAAAAGCCCTCTCTTTTTCATTTGCAGTAGCGGTGAGGATTTTTATATTCAAGGTTACTGATTGCTCACCGAAACTTCAGGCCTATTTCACACAGGAAGCCACATAAGGAGTTTGTGTCCCTGGTAACATAGCTCAGTGGTGTTGCACCTGCCTGGTAAGCTCAAGGTCTGGAGTTCAATTCCTGGTACCAAAAAAAAAGTTTGTGTTCAGTTTTGGGTGCTTCAAGGATTCTTGATTTATTTGTGCAGCATACATTTATTGAGCTCCTACTATATGGCAGGAACTCGTCAAGCTCTAAGGTCACCAAAGTAAACCACAAATGCCCACATTCTTTCCTCACAGCTTACTTTCTAGTGGGGATAGGATTGAGTAATGGACAATAAACAAGTAAAATGCATCTTGGCTAAGCGATGAGTGCAGCAGAAAAGAATGAGAAAAGGGGGAAGTCTAGGGGATGGGGCAATAAGCAATTTTAGATGTGACATTCAAGCAAAGATCAGAAAGAAGAATGCAATAAGTACATCTGAAGAAAGGGCACCTGAGAGAATAGAACAGCAAGAACAAATGTCCTGAGGCGGGAACAATGATGCTATTTCAAGAACACAGAAATGTTCATTGTGGTTGAGTGTTGGGGAGAACTAGATGTAGTCAGTGAGGTGCAGGAATTTTATCACTTAAAATCTTCCAAGAGCTAAGGATTTGGCCTTTTACTCAAAATGAGATGATGGGTAGGGTTTATTTGTTTAGTTGACACAGGCTCATGCTGTGTAGTTTAGGGTGGCCTTGAACTCACTGTGACCCAGGTTGGCCTCGGGCTTGTGGCAGTCCTCTTGCCTTAGCCTCCACAGCGCTGGGACTGTAGATGTATGCGACCCCATTCAGTGGATGTGGACTATTGTATGGAAAAAGTCTGAATGATTTTAGTTTAAAAGTAGATTATATGGGCTCATTAGGATGTTAGGAAATAAAGCAGATGTGAAAAACCTTCTTTGCAAAAACTGGCACTGTGGTTTATCTGAAATACTTTCCTGTTGCTAAGACACAATACCCAATACCCAGAATTCTAAGGGGGAAAGGTTTACAGTATTTTGGCTCACAGTTTGTAGGGGTTTTCGTTCATAGTCAGCTGGCTCCAACACAAGGATGGCAGATGGGCATGGCAGCAAAGAAACAGCTCATGGCCTGGCAGCAGGAAGCAGAGACCGAGAGCTCAAGGGAGGAGGGGGGAGGACCAGGCCACACCCCCAGTGACCACCTCCTTCTCCTCCCTACATCACAGTTAGCTGTAAATTCATCAGCAGACTAATATGCTGCTGAGTATCACAACCCCAGGTTCTAGTCACCTTCCCAAAGCTCTATCCTATGAGCCCATGAGGCGTTAAGGGGACACTGAGACATAAACCATACCAGGCTGCACTCGTCTCCCCTGGTGAAGGCTCCTTAAGCTAAGACCATTATAGTGACTCACAGGACTGCACCTAGGCAGACAGGCCAGGAAAGCAGAGATGCCCTCCTGCAAAAGCAATGCTGAGGAGTCCCATGGGAACTGCCCCCGCACTGCCAGTGGCCTCCATAGTTGGTCCGTGTGTTCTGATCCATAGTGCTGAGGATGCTATCCCTCACAAACTAACATGACTGCAGATACCTCCTTCCTCACCTGCCAAGTCTTGGCCACCTGAAAATACAAACACAGTTGGGGAAAATCACTCCTTAGAAAGCATGTTGACCTCTTTTTATTTTTTGTTTGTCTTCTAGTTTCAGGGAAGAATTCATGGGTTGCACAAAGCAGCAAGGGAACCCAACTAAAGATCTGTGCTTCTCTTTCAAACCAGTACAGTTGACACTCTTCTTTCAGACAGGCCAGGCCACATACCCTTCTGAAGAAAAAAGAAGCCCCAGTAAGAGCATCTGTCCAAGCCCTGATACAGACCCTGGGCACATGACAGTGAGACAGGGATCTTGCCTGCCTGAGCCCTGCCTCTAAGAGGATAACATCTTTGTAGTCATTGATTGGATCCCCTAACTCCCAGCCAGCCTTCTTCCATCCCTATCTTTGTCAAGGGCTAAAGAGACACTCAAGCCAGACTGAACTCCTTCCTACTCTAATTAGAAGATTGGAGAAAGGAGGCAAGGTGTGTGGCACCTCATGGCAGAGGATATGACAGGAAGAGATGGGAGTGTGCCAGGGGCCAGGTCCTGCCAGGCCATGGGCATCACAAAGCTGGTCTTCTTGCCTTTGCCTGGCCTGCACACCAGTTCCCAGCACTGGTCTCCTTCTAATCCACTCCTTTTCCTGAGATCACCTGGGTGGTCTGTAGCTAAAAGCACCCCAGGAGAGAAGAAAGCAGTTCCCGCAGAGGGGTCCCAGCAATAGACTCTCACTGAGTTGGGGGCAGGTGGACAGAATACATGCAGTTCACAGCTCACTAATGACTGATTACCTGCGCTTTCTCAAGAACTGCCCCTGTGATCCCACTGAAGGCAGGAGCCAAGGCCATGTTCATTAGATCCTTCCAAGCATCTGGAAGGATCTAATGAACATGAAGACACCACGTATTTGAAGATCTCTCTTAGCCCTAGTAGTATAGAGGGCCGTTTTGTCAAATTCAACATCAGCTGAATCCTCTCTCTTATGCACAGCTGAATCTTCTGGGAAATGCAGTGGAAATGTCTGGGGGTTACAGCAGGGATGAACATATCTCCCTCTGCACTATGCACCCCTCCCGACTCTTCTTAAAATCTCCACTATTTTCCTGCCTGCTGGAGAAGGAAGGTGACTGAAGATTCCAGCACAGCCATGATGACAGACTGAGCTCACCAGAAAGCCTTGGGCAGGATAACAGGAAAACCAGAGCAGGGATAAGAGGTAACTGGGGCCCTATCCTGGTACTTGGGGTCCCCAGTGGATCCTGAGGAGAGAGCCTTCCCAAGGAGTCATTCTACAGAGGACAGCAGAGATGGCACACCTACATAGCTACCTACAACGCAGGCTTAACTGAAATCCAAAGCACAGACAGGCCTTAATCCTTTCTTTGTAATTCCAAATTCCAAAAATTGTGGAATTTTATTTTCCATTTTATTTTTCTTAATAAACTAAGAACAAAACCCAACTCAACACATGAAGCTGTGCATACATTGTCCCATGTAGTTTCAATCATGGTATTTGTGCAGCAAGATTGAAGAGTAGGATGCTGCTGGGAAAATTCAACATCTCAGTAAACAGTGTTACCAATGTGGTTTATGTCTCAGTGTCCCCCACAAGGCCTCCTGTGCTCATAGACAGGTTTTGGGGGAATGCATGGATTAGGGGTACATAACAGCTGGCCTGCTGTTAGAGGTAGGGGTCTGGTCAGAAGAGGCAGGACTCTGTGAGTGTGACTTAAAAGGCTACACAGTAGTCCCAACTCATGAATAAGTTTCATCCAGATCATTTGTAAGTCAGATTGATTCATGAGTCTAGTAAGTGAGTCTTAGACACCTTTGCCACAAATACACAATGTGAAGCACAAAAACCAATACACACATAATTACTGTAAATTATTTTTCTCTTTACAGCTACCTTAAATGGTCAAACAATGCAGAAGAGTAGTCTCGCTTTTGTTTCCATGGGTATTGCTGTGCACTTCCCAGCAGCCCCCTCCATAGCACCATTGCTTTGCCTGCTGCTTCTGGACACCCTGGACTCCAGCTGAGTGCTACAGTGTTGTGTGCTGTCATACTGTACTGGAAGGAAGCAACAGCATCTCTGTGACAGCGTCTGACAGATGCTGTTCTGGCCACTTGTGTGATCCATTCACATCTAGAAATGTTCCTAGTGCGACATCTGTTCATATATGTGAAAGTCCACACCATGAATGTTCATGTCAGTGACTTACTGTATTTCCTTTCCCAGCTCCTCCCCTGACTCTCTGCTTCCTGACTGCTACGAGGTGAACAGGTCCTCTTGCAAGGCCCTCTGCCATGTCACCCTGCCTCAGAGCCAGGAGGCTATGAATTGAAACCTCTCCAAACTATGAGTTAAAATAAGGCTTCAGGTTGGGGATATCAGGTATTTTGTCCCAGTAACAAGAAAAATGACTAAGATAGTGACCTTTCCATATATATATATATATATATATATATATATATATATATATATGAACTTAGAAAGTATCAGAATCATGCAGTGTATCCAGCTTGTAAGGTTTTATCCTGGAGATTATGGATGTAGGAGTTGCTATGGCTTATGTATAGATTTCCCCCAAAACTTATGCAGTTATAGGGGAGCTTTTGGGAGGTGGCTAGATCTACAGTATGTGATGCTGGCACTAGAGGTGCCCACCCTGTGTGTGTGTGCTACCCTGCCTCAGCCGAGTAGCCGGGTAGAATATAAGGGACAGAAAGAGGGCTGCTGCTGTCTTTTTTCTTTGCTACTTTGTTGTTTGCTGTATTCTTCCTGCCCTGTTTTACCTGGACTGCTTCTCCTCTGCCTTGCCTCTCTGCCTTGGAACCAGCCAACTACTGACTGAAACCCCTACAAACTGTGAGCCAACCTTTCCTCCTTTAATTCTGGGCGCTGCGGAAGGGGTATTTTGTCTCAGCAAAGAGAAAAGTGAGGAAGGTAAGTACATACAAATGACAGATCAGTACAAGAAAAGATGCTCAGTGACATCCATGACAGGGAAATGCAGACCAGACCACAATGAGATGGTCTCATTCATCCACACCAGCATGACAAAAATCAGGACAGGTACTAAGAAGTAACAGGATGTAAGCAAAGCGGAACTCTCATTCATCACCAGAGAGGATGTAAAGCAGTGGAGCCACAGAACAGTTAGAGAACAGTTTGGAAGTTCTTCAAAAAGTTAAACATAGAGTGACTATGCAAGCCAGCTTTTCCACTCCTAGGACACATCCAAGAGAAATGGAAACTTATTTCTTCTCCCAAATCTCTACGCAAATGTTCATAGCAGCATTATCCATAATAACCAAACAAATAGTGTCTTAGCTACTTTTCTCATTGCTGAGACAAAATACTCAACACCCAAAATGAAAGGATGAAAGATTTATTTGGTTCACAGTTCATAAAGGTTTCAGTCCCTGGTTGGCTGGCTCCGAGGCAGGGAGTATGGCAGAGGGGTGGCACAGAGGAGAGACAGGGCGGCGAGGTAGAGGGCGGCACAGAGGAGAGACAGTTCACGGCAGCTGAAAGAAAGCCAAGGCAAGCAAGGGACAAGATGAACCTCTTTCGATCCCTTGTACTGTATCCAGGCTACCAGGATCAGGACAGTAACAAAACCATCAGTGGCCTGATTCGGTAATCACCCACCCTCCGTCCTAGCATTGCACGGTGAATCAGCCACCTCTGACAAAGCCTCACCTGTGACCGCACGAGGCACTGAGAGAACACCAGACACAATCATAACAAGTGGAAACAGCCCAAATGCCCATGTCTTGTGTACCTTGCCTATCCATACAGTGGAATATCCAGTGGTAAGAAGGAATGAGGTCCTGGAACACCCTACATCATGGATAAGACATGAAAACCTCTGCTAAGTGGAGGAAGTGAGACACAAAAGGACAAATGAGGAATGACTGATTCCATTTATATGAGACATTCAGAATAGGTATATCCATAGAGATAAAAAGTAGGTTATGCTTGTCAAGGGCTGAAAAGGGATGAAAGAAGACTAATTCTCAATGTACAGGGCTCTCTGACAGGGGACAAAAATGTTCTAAAATTTAGTTTGTAGCTATGTTTGTACAACTCTGTGACTATACAAAAAAAATCAAATTGTCCAATGTCAATGAATGCATTTTATAGCTTGTGAATTGTATTTTAATAAAGCCATGTAAACATACATTAATAAAAATACAATCCATAGATTGTGGCTGCAGTTAATTCAAAGCAAGGACTAGGATGATAGGGTATCCCAGGAAATTCTCAGGCCCTAGTATAATTGGTAAAAGATAAAACTGGCCAGAAGTGGAATGCTGAAGTAGTAAAGACTCTCATTCAACATTCTTCCCTATGGGCAGAGGACACCAACATCCATGAACTTTGGGGAGTCTGACCACGAACCCCACCAAAGTTAGTCTTGGGCTTTTGAGCCAGCTGGGAATTTCCCCCAGCAGGCGCTATTCTGGACCAACTACCCAGGTGTAATCATATCCCATAGCCCACAGGTACAGTATAGGGGTCTCTTACCATCTTCCTAAGCATACGACAGTTATTTCCACTGAGCTCTGCAGTTTGACATAGGGTGTGTGGCTGTTGGGGACATCCACTATTTAGGTAAGTGACAAAAAAAGTTGCAAAATGTCAGAAGATGGTAATAAAATAGGGAGGAGAGTAGAAATTCCTAGAGCATAAAGACCCTGATTTCTCTCCCTTTCCACCCTGCACCCAATCTAGAGCCAGAGAGCAACGGACCCTGTAGAGAGTCCACTGAGGTCAGCCTCCTGAGGACAGAGCAAATAGAGAAAGGCAGAGAGTGGATGTCCAGGGCCAAAGGAGGGCACCCAGAGCAATCATGCTGCACGCCGGCCTTTAGAAGTCATAAATCAGTCAATAGACACTCTTTGAGTGTGACATTGTGCATGGAGCTCTAAGTGACCAAACCCAGTTGGAAAGATAAAACCCAGCCACTTGACAAGATAATTATGATTACAAAACAATGTGAGTTTAAATAAGTAGATGATATAATGAGACCAAAGGAACTCAGAGAATGGGGGAACCTCTTTTGCCTTGGAGGTAATGAGCAAAGATTTCTTAGGTCAGAATTTCATTTGCTTTTGGTCAAAGGTCAGGACTCACACTGCAAGATTAAATGCACTGTGATCTTTTAAACAAACTGTGGAGATAAAACTATCCACATAGAATAAAAGGAAATGAGTTCTGAGCATAAATACTAGTAAGCATTTAGGAAGAGGTTCATTAAAAACACATTGAATCTATCTATTTCTGTGTCGTTTTAACCAATGCACTCCTAAAACAGATTCTTCCCTTATGCAAGGGAGGGAAGGAGTTTGATTGTTGTAACGAAGTAGCATAGCAAAATCTTTCAGAGCATGACTCTGGCAGTCATGTGACAAACACTGAATGTGGGTGTTACAGTTTGTGTCTAGTTGTCCCCCCAAAGCCTCATGCAGTAATGTGGTGGCTTCCACAGTTTGTGATTAATTCTTGATCCAATGCTGGGATTGCGGGTGTGAGTGCTACACTTGCTCTAGGGCAGACACTCTGGATACAAATGTAAGGAGGAGTATGTGTTCATCTTGGATGCCCATTTCTGGATTGGGTCTTTAAATTTGGGGGCCCTAATGTTTTTTAGTTCTTTATAAATTCTAGAGAGAAGACCTTTGTCTGAGTGCTTATTAGTTAAAATTTTTTCCAAATTTGTGGGTTGTCTTTTCACTTTGTTGGTAATTTCTTTTGACATGCAAAAACTTCTCAATAAGAGTAGGTCCCAGTTGTTAATTCTTTCAAGCATTACCTGTGCAATTTGATTTTTGTTCATGAACTCTTTGCCTACCCCTATGTCTTCAAGAGTTCCTCCTACTTTCTCTTCTGGAGATTTAGTGTTTCTGTTTCAATGTTTAGATTTTTTTTCAGAACTGGGGATTGAACTCAGGCCCCTGTGCTTGCCAGGCAAGCACTTATTCCACTGAGCCATCTCCCCGGTCCCTAGATCTTTAATCCATTTTGGCTTTAGTTTAGAGCATGGTGATGGAATACCCATCTCTGACAAAACTAAACAAAAAAAGGGGCTATAAATGAAGGACCATTCTGTATCTGTATATACAAAATAATTAGGATAGATATACAGCTTCTTTTTCTTAATTCAAAGAGAAGAAAGATTTGTACTAATAGTGTTTAGGCAAGATATCACATATGTATCTTGTACTATGAATAAATACTACAAAGACAACAATATGCAATGTATTAATTATTATGACTGTCCTACTAACCTGTTTTGAAATTGTCTCATTGCTATTTCTTTCTCAATAAAATTAATTTAAAAAATTAAAATTGTCTCATTGCTATCTCTTTCTCAATAAAATTAATTTAAAGTGGTGAGAGAGACAGGCTATCTGTGGCAGCTGCAGCTCCTCCCTTTGCTGTTTGTTGTTTCCCACCACCATGAATGACTGCCCTCTGCCATGTGACACTCTGCCTTAGAGCCAGCTGAGTATGGACTGAAACCTCCACTAACTGTGAGCTAAATAAACTTTTCCTTCCTTAATTTTGGCTGCTGGATATTTTGTCCCAACAATGAGAGAAAAGTAACTAAGGCGGCAGGCTCTGCTAGTTGCCTAGATGCGTGGCCTTGGGGAATGCTGCCAGTACTTCATCTCTTTATGCCTCAGTTTTCTCATCTGTAAAATGAAGGTAAAAAAATACTGTTTACCTGATAATGCTGTTGTGAGGACTTTAAAGAGCTCACACATAAGGATTTACAGTGTGCTAACACATTCCAGATGTGCATTACTATTATATTATTATTATTATTTAAATTAACTGCGCAAGTACATTTTAGCAAACCTCTGCCATGGTTGCTATTGTGATTTATACCTAGATGTTTCCCCACAGCCCCACGTGCTCATTGGCAAGTTTTTGTTTGTTTTGTTGTTTTGAGACAGAGTCTCTCTATGTAGTTTGGGTTGGCTTTAAACTTACTACATAGCCCATGCTGGCCTTGAATTCACAACAGTGATCCTTTGTTTGCCTCCTAAGTGCTAGGATTACTGGTGTGCATGACCATGCCCAGCTGGCAGGCTTTTGCCTGGACTAATGGGTTCATAACTGGCTTAGTGTTAGGAGGTAAGGTCTACTCCAGAAAAGGCGGGTCACAAGGTATGTGGCCTGGAAGGATTTATCTTCCTCCTTAGCTTCTCCCTTCACTCTCTGCTTCCTGTTCACCATGTTCTGAGTAGCTATTCTTCCACCAGGTCCCTCAGCCCTGCCATCTTGCTAGGAGCCAAGCAACTATGGATCGAGACCTCTACAGACTGTGAGCCAAAATCAACCTTTCCTCTTTTAAGTTGTATTTGTCAGGTATTGTGTCCTAGCAGTGAGGAAATAACTAAATTTCCAACAGAGAGCGAATGTAAGGACCTTTGGAGTGAGGGAATACCCATAGATCAGAAAAGAAGTCAAAAACAGTAGGCTGGGTATGGTGGTGTGTGACTGTAACTTCAGCACTTAGGAGTCTGAGGCAGGAATATGGTGAGTTTCAAGCTAACCTGGGCACATAGTAAGACCGTGTCTTACAAAACTAAACAGAAGAAGTATCATAATAAAGACAGAAGCAATCAAGAAAGGAAGCATGAGTTGAGGGACTATACCAGTCAATCCTGGAAGAGACAAATGGGGCAAATTTGTGGTGGGTCTTGACTTCAAACCTCCAACAAGTGACGGGGAGACACTGCTTGCGATGTGAGCAGTGAAGCAATATGATAAAGATGCTGACTTGGGGGAAAATTAACCCACCCAGGATGTGCAAGATGGACTGAAAAAAGAGAGCAGCAGCTACAAAGTTAAGTAACTATTGCAGCCCTCCAGAGCAGGGCTTCCTACTTGTGTGCCCAGACTGGGTTTGTGATTGAGCCAACTTGTCAGATCCTTGTATCCGCCAATGTAGCCCTATGGTGCCTAGGACTGTTGGTAGAAAGATATTTGCTTCCAGTCTTGATAGGGCTAGCAAAAAAGTAATTTTATTTTCTACGTTTGTGATGACAGGAACAAGGTTGTGGAGCACTAACCTGGTTACAAAGGCTTTATTAGTACTATGACAGTAGCAATGCACAGAAAGAAAGCCATATAGGGCCAGTGCATTACTCTTCACATAGGAAAGAGATCAGGAATCCACAGGGTCAGCCAATGGACTGAAAATCTTGGACATCCACACGCAGAAATGGGAATCTAGACCCGCAGATCTTACCATGTACTAAACTAGAATAAACTCAGAAAGGCCAGGAGAAAAAACAGGAGTGACACCCAGAAAGCTGTGTATTCACAGTATGGAGTCCCCAAACAGAGTGGGTTAAGGCAATTTTCAGCATTTAGAAAGAGTCCCTAATACTTGCTGGTGGCCTAGGATACTGTGGGTAGGTCAGATGTGCCCAGAGAGCACTTCTTTTTGGCCACGAACTATGTTCCTCTCTCATGTTGGAATATCCTTTGCACAATAGCCAGCAGCCAACAGCTTACCATATGGGAGGAGAGGTTATCTCTACCTTCTTCCATCCTGTGCTGAGGTACCAAAGATTCTTTCCCAACAAGAGACCCAGGCAGACACCTCCCACTGTCCAGGGAAGGTCCAGTAATGTTCTTTCAGCAAGACTTCCCTGTGTAGCTCTTTGTTAATGGAGCGAGGTGCAAGGAGAGAAGCTAACATCTATTACCTGAAATATATCATTGTGATTTTTCCAACGTGGTGGACTGGCCTTTGAAGCCATTTAAAAGCAATAGTCTTATTCATTCACTCCCCTCCATTTCATTTCCCACATTGGTGACATTTCCTTCAGTGCCTGTTATCTCTTACTTTCCTGTCTCTTCCACTCTACGACATTATCTAATTCACAACCCCTTCTATTTCTCTTTTTCTAGGCCATGCTAAGGTGAAAGGGAGCAAAGGTCACACACTGCTGGATGTTCTACATCTAGCAACTACTCCAGATGGTGCATATCCAGATTATATTACCCTGGAATCCTACAGAAATAATGAAGATTTCATGTATGCATACTGCTTTTATTGGGACTAATCTGCATTTGAAAATGCTGGCCTTATGTTACTTACTTTCCCTTTAATAAATAAAAAATGATGCATTCCCTATTTTAGATTTGGTAGTACGAAAGTTTGTCTCTGCTGACAGATGGTCTTGCTTCCTTTCTTGAGCTAATGCAAACTATGTAACTCACGGTGTTTCTTTTTATACCTTGGAAGTCAAGATGCTCAGAATTAAGAGATGGGTTTATTTGCATCCATTTCACAGTTAAAAAACCTCCCCTTTACTATGTGGCTTTAATTCTTTTATCTTTACTTTAAATTTTTTATTTTACTTCTCTATTTATCCCAAGTTTCCTTGAGTTTTTCTGAAAGAGTTAGAGATGGATATATGAGTGAATGGATGAATGGATAGATGGATGGATGGATGGATGGGTAGTGGGTTGATGGATTGATAGGTAAGTGATTAAATGATATACAAACAGATGGCTAGACAGAAACACCAGCTGGATTCTGTTTTGAACAAGGGAAGAGAAAATCCAGCATAGTTCCTCTCGTACTTGGTCTCCATTTATGCCATGGACCCACCTTGTCTTTCCAGGATCTAGTTCTTTCCATTTGTGTATTTGTTTGTTTGGTTTTTTATGAACACTAGAAGAGTCTGTGTAGTGTATTAGTCAAGAGCATGGCCTTGGAATCAGAGTCAGGTTCAAATTCCATCTTAGCTACTGTATCTGTATAAATATAGGAAGCTTATCTGCCTCCAAGTTTTGTAATTTGTAAAATGAAGGCAACAACACTTCCTACAACATGCAATTAGTTTCCTTAGGCTCAGTTAGATAACACATGTCAATAGTTGAATGTGGCCCACCTAGCACATGGCAAATGCTTAGTTGTAAATCATGAGGTTTTCCTTCCACCTTCTCTGATGCTGCCCTCTCTGGGCGTACTTATCTTATGTTTGGACTATTGCAATAGTCTTCTGATTTGCTTAGAGTTAAGAATCTCTTAGCTGAAAGGCATTACCTACTCCAACACTCTTATCTTACAAATATTAAACAGAAAGCATTGCCAAGAGAAATATCATGCATATGGTGAAACGGTCACATGGTGTGATTGTCAGCAAGCTAGGCTGTTACTCAGGTCTGGGTATAACTTGTGAACCACTGGGCACCTTAAATTTCTAATGAACCACCTAGGAAGGGCACTCAAGATGTGTATACTGTTAGGGTATTTCTGACAAACAGCAGGATGACCTGCTGTAAGGCCTAACCAAAGAACCTCTGGTACCAAGATTCTGCAGGGGCCAGGGCTCCAAGTATGATGATCTTGCAGCCAGAGTGAAGCTAGGCAGAGAGCTAAGATTTGAAGAAGTGAATGAATGGGCTTCATCCCAGCTCCTAAGTACGTATCTGAATCTCAAGGAGAGAAATGATCACAGGAAAAATTAAAGGGACTGACACTGAATCTGTTACACACTGTGTTCAAGTAATACAGGAGTATAAAATTCCTTCATGCAAAAGACAGATCATGGTGGACCTAATGGTGGTGCATATTCATAAACTCAGCTGAAAGGCTGAGGCAAAAGATTGTAAACTGGAGCATAGCCTGGGAAACAGAAAATTAGTGAGCCCCATCTCAAAATTAAAAAAAAAGTATTGGCAGCATTCCACATAGATCCAGAGAAAGAAATCCAAAACTTCATATGGAACCAGAAGAGACTCAGAATAGCAAAAGCAATTCTGATAACAATAGCATAACAGGGGGGCCGGAGAGATAGCACAGTAGATTAAGCGCTTGTCTGGCAAGTGCAAGAGCTTGAGTTCAATCCCCAGTTCTGCAAAGGAAAAAAAACAAAACAAAACAATAGCACAACAGAAGGCATCACAATCCCAGATTTGATGCTATATTACAAAGCTATAGTAATAAAAACAGCATGGTACTGGAACAAAAATGGAAATATGGGATCAGTGGAACAGAACAGAGGAAGCAGAAACAACCTCAGGCACATGCAGCTGTTTGTCTTTGACGAAGGAACCAAAAAATACACTGAAGGAAAAATAGCTTTTTTAAATGCAGAGTGCTGGGAAACTTGGACATCCACATGCAAAAGTGGGAATCTAGGCCCATAGATCTTACTATGTACTAAACTGTAATAAAAACAGACCAATGATCTAAAATGTTAAAATAGGCAGTCCTCTGCTGGAAGATAAATTAGGTGAATCTCCTGAAGACATAGGCATAGGCAAGGACTTTCTGAGCAGAACCCCAATGGTGCATGAACAATACTGAGAATCAACAAATGAGATCATACTATATTTAAAAGATTCTTTCTGCACATCAAAGGAAATAGCAAACAGAGTGAAAAGACAACCTACAGGACGGGAAAAAAATTTTGGTAGCTAATCCTCAGACAAAAGAGCTACTGCATAGAAGATATAGAGAACTCAAAAATATTGGACCACCCAAAATAAAAGACCCAACCAAGAAAATGAGGAATCAAAGTAAACAGACACTTCTCCAAAGAAATACAGATGAACAATAAATACTTGAGAAAAAAGTTCAACAGCCATTGGACATATGCAAGTTAATACTGAGATACTATCTTACCCCAGAAATAATGGCTGTCACCAAAAAAACCTAATAATAACAAATACCGTCAAAGCCGTAGAGAAAAAGGAACTCTTCTATGCGGTTGATGGGAATATAAACTAGTACGTCACAATGGAAACCAGTGTGGAAAGTCTTCAAAAATCTAAAACAGAAATTTCATTTGACGCAGCCACTCACCTTCTAGAATCTTCCCCCCAAATTATCATATTGCAGTGGTATGTGCATACCCATGTTCATAACAGTGCATGATTTATGATAGCTGAATCTTGGAAGTGGCTTGTATGCCCATCAGCAGATGAATAAATAAAGAAAATGTAGTGTTTACACATAATGTAGTACTGCTCTGACACCAGCTCTTTTTTTTTTTTGTTTTGTTTTGTTTTGGTCTTTTTGAGATGAGCTCTCAATGCAGTTCAGCTGGCCTCAAACTCACATTGATCCTCCTGCCTCAACCTCTCACGTGCCACTACCACGCCTGGGTCCCACCAGCTCTTGAGACGGGCTGGCCCATTTGTCTGTCTTACCCTCCACTGTATCAGGTACACTGCGCTGCAAATTCAGTGGATGTTTAATAAATACCTGTTGAAAACATGAATTGTGAACTCTGATTTTCATCACTTATTTTTGAGCAGGAATGTTAGTGACATTATTTCCTTCCACAAAAGGATTTAAGCCTTTCTTTAAGTACTTTTCTCCACTACTCCAACAGAATGCTTTCAGGTGGTTTCTCATGCTAGCAGGTACTGAGGAAGTTTGAGGAGACCTTGAGGCCCTTTCCAGAGCTTGAGAGCTACACCAGCAACTTGAGCACTGCTGTGGGCCACAAGCTTATCCTAGTATTCCTCTCTGAAAAAGAGAAAAAGTGCAAAATCAAATCCACCAAACCAAGACTTTGTTGCGGCCCATTTTAACCTGGCTGAACCACTCTGCCTTCTAAGCATCTCTTTTTTCCTAGCCCCTGATTATGGCCTCCAAACCAGCAACCAAAAACATAGCATGTGGAAAAAGTTGTAGAAGAGAACTAAAACATCACTTTGGCCTCTGAAGGAAAAAAGCCTTTTGATGTTTTCTTTCTCTCTGTTAAACGTCAAGGACAGATCAGGCATTCGCTCAATTGATCAAGAGGTTCTTACCAGCTCTGTATGCCAGGCTCTGTGCTGGTAATAACTTCATGCTAAGGTTCGTGATACCCATTTCAGTGGTATTCATTCTGCTAAACATTTGTGCCTGTTGAACAAAAGAAACATTTAGCTGGGCATGTAATGCAATTCCAGCACTCTGGGAGGCTGAGGCAAGAGGTTCACAAGTTCAAGGACAGCCTCGAACTTCAAGTTAAAGGACAACTTAGTGATTTAGTGAGAACCTGTCTCCAAATTAGAAGTGTTGGGGATGTAAAGATGTAGCTCAATGGGAAGATCTTGGGTTCAATTCCTTATACTGGGAGAAAGGAAGGAAAGAAGGAAAGGAGAAAGAAAGAAAGAACTTTAAGAGAGAGAACAGTTCTTTTATTTACAGGAACATTTCATTCTGTGAAAGTATGTTAGTCAGATTTCCTGCAACAAAATGCCTTATGCTCTCGGAAGTTTTAGTTTACAGTGACTGGACCCTGTTGCTTTGGGCTTCAGGTAGCACAGTCCAGCGTGGCATGAGCACACGGTAGAGGAGGCCTAGTTGCCTGAAGGCAAACAGGGAAAGCAGAAGCAGAGAGACAAGAAGGCCATGTTCCAATATCCTTTTCTTCTTCCTCCTCCTCCTCCTCCTCTTCCTCCTCCTCCTCCTCTTCTTC